GTTCGACAAAGATAAGACTCACAAAAATGTTAAACCCGGGATGCTGGTTAATGAGGCATGTTTCTAGGTAAACCATGTTTTTAAACATACCGTCTCACATAATCTGGAGGACTCAAATGTCTTGTGTGATGAATGCAGTTTAATGTGACCTTGCTACAACAAAAGGGCGCATCAGAATCCATTCAAAGGTGCCTATTGTCTGACCTGTTAGGGTACCAGGGACCTTGCAGAATAATGTCAACAGGATCACAAAGACCTCTTTCAGTGCAGTGGAATCCTTGTTTTCTTTCTACTCTCTATATATCAGAATGTTGCTGTTCCCCCCCCCCCTGACATCATGTGAGGGGCGTTTCCATTAGGCCAAGTTTAAAAAAAATCCAGCGAAGGCAGATCCAGGGCAAGCCTGTAGATTTTGGAGCGATCAAGAGCGCAAACTAATATCCCATGTCGTCTTGATGTATATATAGAACAGTCCAGAAATTGCCAACTATTTCACAGTGAAAATGAACTCGGACTTCTTCTGAATTATCTACCGGTAAAAAGGGACCACTTGGTTAATTGGGCCTGATGAAGACAAGCTAAATTGGGGGGGGGGGGGAGGGGAGTCCGGGAAGCACCTTTTTAGAATGTAGCTTTTCCCTGCTTTTCATCATCATTAATAATGATGATCCTCTTTCTGTGTGAGGTTAAGCAAAGCTCATTTTCAAAGAACTTGAGGTCGACTGTCCTTTAAAGTAAAAGCAGGCCCGAGAATTCAACATTGTTGTCGAAAATCTTAGTAGATTTAGAACTTTTGGGGGAATTCTCTTCCCTTTGAAATATATGATGGACCTTGGAAGTGTAAAGGTGATGAATTTCAATTAAAGTCTATGACAGTTCAGAAATGTCACAGAGAACCCATCACAAACCCCCTTGTTTTCTAAACTGCTGTTTACATGTTCACATTATTTGTCAGTAAATATAATTATGTAAAATACAGGGTGGATTTAGGATTTTGTAAGAAGAGAAAACAATATGCAGATAACTTTGGCAAAGCAAAGCAAGAAAAGTTTTCATATGTTATGGGTGACTCTTACTCAAAAAATCTATAACAAGGAAAACAAAATTTGTGAAAATGTAGTGCCAGTATACTGGGACTTGGACGTTTTCCTCTCTTGTCAGTGAATCTGAAGAAAAAGAAATGAAAGACAGAACTTCAGGGGGAAACATAAAGGGTGGGGGGGGGGGGGGTGGGCGAGATTCACACAAATAAATTGGGGACCTGTTTTGTAGTGATGTTAGGGGTGGGGGGAGTTGTGCTGTGGAAAATCATATGAAACCTTATACATAGACGTCCCCTTTGCTCTATTAGAATTTTGTGATGGAGCTAAATTTAGACTATCATTTTTCAAGCTTCCAATAACAGTAGATAATTTCTGAGTAAAGATAATCCATCAACTAAAAGCATTTATCAGGCTTATACCTTCTTTGGTTGGGAATGCTTTTATAGCTTAACATTCCTTGTCAAAATGATGTTAATGATAAGGCTTACATCTTTCTGTGTTTAGGAATGCATTTGTAGCCTTTAATACCTATTCAATGAGAATGAGATGTTAATAAGATAAGATTTTAGACTGATTGGGATAAAGAATGCTTTAGTTGGATGAATAGGAGATTTAAAGGTGTGCACTGCATTATGAGAACTTGAAAGTCTTGTAGTATTACAGGGGAAAATGGAGATGTCATGAACATGTTGGAGTTGAAGACAATTTTATTTTCACTTATATGATATGCTTACATGTGTCTGTTCGTGAATTGATTTGCGCTCCTCACTTCCACTTGTTAACTCAATATTTGTTCACAAATAATCTTTATGCGCCACATTGTAAATACTATAGGATTATACCAAAGGCTTCAAGATCATTTAACTGGTACTATGTGCAAGACTTATCTAACATGCAGGTATTATTAACGGGCTGTCATGGAGCTAAACCAAGACCAGAAATGGGATTTCTTTTATTTGTAAAGTCATTGTCAGCGTGTCCAGACACAAAACAATTTATCTCGAAACTCTATAACGAAACGTTGTATAAAGAATCATCTTATTAAAATCAGGGTATCCACACACAAGAAACGTTGTATAATCATGGTATAAATTCTAGGATGTCCACACACAGAAGAAAGTAATCCTGAAACTCTACAGCGAAATGTCGTATAGGTGCGCAGTTTGCTACTGCGATCATGAAATGGAAGCGGAAATGAGAGATCAGGTCTCCTTTCGCTCGAGGTCACGTTTAGCCCCGCCCAGTTATACCGTTCTAGTTTGACTACGTTGTACAAGTTACGTCCACACGCAACATATTCCGTCATTAGGCGTGATTATTCATACGTTGTATAACGAAACTTATGTTTGGGCATCGTTTTGTTATACAAGGTATAGTTAGTAAGCGTCCACACACACAATTTCATTGTATAACTATCCCGAAACGGTATAGCTAATCACGCCTAATCAAGGAAAATGTTGTGTGTGGACACGGGGTGTGTACGTTGCACAAAGCAATCCTATTGTCATGCATTTGGTGTCCATTGTTTTGTGCATATTGACGCACATGGTATAAAAGCGTCTGTGCCATTAGGTCCTGATATTATAGCAAGCAAAAGGTTAAGGCACAGTCAGAGATAGGTACACGTGTATTAAGTGGCATTGCATTTGAACGAAACTAATTTAAAAATTTGAATTCTCAAAAACATTCTTGTGGAGCTATAGCTTCCCTTTAAGGTTCCACACAGGGAATAAATAAGAGGGATAAAGTAATGATTAAAATCACAACTTGAGTCCCGGCGGGTGACCTAATAATAATCTGGCGATACCACGTCAGTCTGTGCCTTATTATAGATTTCCCTGTCACAGCCTAATAGTTGAACCGGTCGGGACTCTATTAATCAGATTATGAGTTCATATTATTGCAGTTTATCCCCTCTGAGATTGAACTTGATCCATAGCTGTAGTACACGAATTTAGAATGATAATATTTAGTGTGTGATTTATTTTTGGTTGTGTACTCCTTGAAAGTAACATCCTTGTTTACAGGTGTATTCTCCATGATTTTCCCAAACTTTGAATCATTGCACCTATTTGCTGTTAATTTTAGCGCATTGTCCAATACCCATCTTGCGTTATGTTTTGCTAGCCAAAAACTGTGTTCAGATTTTTGTTTTCAGTGTCTTTTAACAGTACATATTAAATCAAACTTGAGAATCATGTTGGAAACTTCATTATTGTTGGTAAATTGTTTTTTGGGAAAATATGCTTTTCATTCTGAAGAATATAAATTTAACAGACAATTTCTAATTTCTTTCTGATATTCCAAAAATGATCATGGATTAAATCTTGATAAAGCATAATTGGTCATTAATTAACATATTTTATATTCATGCTATTGTACTATGTTAAAAATCCCCTTAAACCCTCTTTAAATGAAATGAAAAACCAGTTGATTTTATTTGAAATCTACATTTTTTAAAATTCATATTTCATTTAGTTTTAATTTTTTCTTTCTCTTTATTGCATCAAAAATATATAGTTGTGCTCTTGCCAAATCATTTTATTTCATACATGGATGTCATTAACTTGACCCATCTTCATTAATTTTCCATTTAGATATGTGATTGTTCGCTCTTGTCTTTTATGTCAAGTCATACTCACCATTGGTTTATCATCCATCATTTCATTTGATTTTCCCATCACCAGATTTAGATCAGAACTAAATCTAAACCATGGCGACCAACCCGCATATATTGATATCCCTACCAGTATACCCTGATTTTATTACTCCCCCTGGCTCTGTCGTAGTAGTATGGGTAGATATCAATATGCTTGAAGACCTTATTGATTTTTGAAGGACATCTTGCTGTTTTGGAGAAATGAAAATAGACAGGGCTTATGGACGATGTTCATTTCTAGGACGGAGACACAGTTTTAGAAAAACCAATCTGAAAGCAATTCTGAATTGATGATCATATGAGTTGATTTCTCGTATATTGTATTGAGTTGTTCAAGAAATCTGACTTAAATCTGTAAAAAAATGCTAAGTACCACCAACTGTAAAGAACTATATCAGATGGAGATTGAAAACCCATATAGGAATGATATATATGTATGGTGTATTCTTTTTTGATGATGTTGTATAATGAGAAAATATCACGAGAGGTTCAGATATATTCAAGATTCAAAGATTCAAGATTCAGTTAATATTTGTATCACAACTGACAATCAAATGAAAATCATTGGTGCTTAAAATTTGCAAGCATATCATGTCATGAAAGCTTTGTATGATATGACTTTATACATGTATGTCTATGATAATAGATCAAATTTGTTCCTGTACGTGTATACTAGCAAAACAAATACAATATGTCATATAGTGAAATGGAAGTAACTGCATCGTTTTGAGTAATGATAGGTCATTTTGCCATCAGGGTTGACTTACGGTATAAACATCATCTAGCGATACATTAAACTATTCACTTCTCTCATAACAGGTTTCATTACATTGCATTTAGTAATAGTCCATTCTTGTATAGTGCATAAACACATTATGATATAAAGTATATGTGCTTCCATAGAGCTTTTTTGGAAATTATTACCCTATTTTAAGCTCCGGCAGCCAATTTCAGCGCACAATGCATTTCAAGGAATAATCCTACTATAGCTACTCAATTACCTCGCCTGGGTTGAGTGTGACAAATGAAGATTAATGTCTTGCCAAAGGACATTAATGCCGCAGCGGGACTCGAACCACGGACCTTGTGATGCACAGTCCGGTAACATATCCACTCGACCACGACACCTCACCATCCAATGTTTGATATATATGCAACTGATTTGTCACTTCCTTTCTTTATAAATACCGTAAACAACATTTCTATAAAGTACAATTTATCCTATCATAAAATGATTAAAATCTTATAAATTGTATATAAATGAAATCATTTGCCTCTTTTTTCTTTCATGTTGACAGCCTGAGAATATAATGCTGCTGAACCGGAACACTCAGAACATCATGCTGATAGACTTTGGGCTATCCAGGAGGATCAAACCAGGAGAAGACATACGGGATATCATGGGGACTGCAGAGTTTGTAGGTAAGTATCAGGTGATCAGTCATGTGATCATATATCTGTAAAATAGAGAATATTAGTATAAACTAAAATAAATAATGAAATCTTCTTACAGAGGTTGTTTTAAAGTGTTTGTAACATGAGAAGAGTCTGGCTTGTGCTAACATCCTCTCAGGACAGTAGGGTGCAGGCTCATATAATTTTACATAATAATATTAATAATATACCATACTTATATAGCACAACTCCTTGCTTTCTGTCAGGAGACAAAATATTAGGTAGGAACTCAATGTTTCATTGATAAATCTTTAATAGTATCGATATATATTTAGATACATCTGGTTTAGTTCCTAGAATTGTGTATCTTGCGTCAGGGTATGAACACCTGTCTTTGTGAGATTTGCAATCTGATTTCGTCATTATCTTCATTCCTCATAATCCTGATCGTATCCCAATATCTTTCCTCCCTCAGCGCCCGAGATCATCAACTTTGAGCCGTTGAGCCTGAACACGGATATGTGGTAAGGATACGCTCACTTTCCAATCTACAACATCTATGTAATGCGACGTTGCATACTCTGATCTCTTATCTTTCCTTTTAAAGAGTGAAACAATGCTCACCTTCCGTTTGATATTCTTTTCACATTAGGCCTGTTTTCATCAGCTCGAGATTGCCAAATATCCGGCTATTTCAACTATCCCCATCGCAAATTATCCAGTTAGTTTGCGTCTTCATCCCCCCAAAATGAGCGGGATATTTGGTTGGGATAATCATCCCAAGATATCTTGGGATAGTTTGCAAAATATCCCGCTATTTGTCCGATGCGTCTTCACCAACCAGAAGACTCGCACTATGCGCAAACGCTGAGCAAAATACCTCGAGCTAATTTCTCAAGGTCAAGTTTCAAGGTCGAATATCGAGCTGATGAAGACACGATTTGCAACTTCGGGGTTATTTCCCAAATCAGAAAAAGCAGGCTATTTGGCAATCTCGAGCTGATGAAAACATGCCTATTAAAATCAGGAACTTGCTTTGTGGTTTGGGTTACCTCACTTTCCACTCTAGAAACTTGACGTACATGAACACATAACATCACATACCCTAAACTCTTTTATATGCTTTTAAAGAGTGCAAAAAGCATGGTGAATTGCAGTTTTGTCTACAACCAGTTCCTCTACCCACCAATTAGTCTGTTTATATTCCCATATATGGTCTATGAGTCTAAAAATCATTTGATGTTTAATACTATTCAAGATTAAATAATTATTAGACCATATGGATAGTGGACAAAATGGGCATTAGACAAAGTGGGTTTTAAATCGTCTGGAAATTAGACCATATGGGTAGCAGACTTACTGGAAATGGAAATTTGACGAAATGAATATTAGCCTAAATGGTCCTTAGACCAAATGATAAGTAGATGAAATGATTATTAGACCATGGGTATAGTAGACGGGCTGGGAGTAGATGGGAATAGACTAATTGGTAAGAACTATTTATAGACCAAACAGCAACAACCAAAAACATGCCCACCTATTTTATCGGGGGGGGGGGGGTGGGGGACCGCCCCTTTCACATTGAATTTATATTATAAAAAATGAAAAGAAGAAAAAATGTTATATGTTCAACACCACAATTCAACTACCGGTATTAAAACAGTCAAGTTTAGTAGCTTTTCCTTTATGTTGATTTGGAAATTCCTCGAATTCTATAAATAATGGTTATTACCACTTTACAGAATTGCTGGTTTTGATTGGATATTTTATGCATCATTACATCAGTATCCCGGAAACCTCATTATGGTAATTGGGATTTTGTTAATGTTCCCAAACGGGGTACTTCAAATTTCACAAATGAGTTGTTGACTGGACATGCTCTCAATGCTTCCCTGCACACAGGCATGCAGTTTCATCAGGTTTATTTTTATTTCCCATCCACTCCAAAACACCATTACTGCATGCACTTAACCCCTTGACAACTGAATTCTCTCACCTCCATAAACTTAATACAGAAGCCACTTGGTTCCCATAAGCAAGTGGTTGCCCAATGTTTGCATCATCTGTTGATAGTCAGTAAGGCGTCAACTCTGTAAAAAGAATTGTACGAGTGAACGCCTTTTATGCTGTCTACAACAGGTGTGCGTCTGGTACCTCCAATACTGTGTGTCCGGATAGACACCTACGCAAATGAAAGAAGTTTGGCGGAAGTTGCTCCGCGGTTAATTTCCCATACTTATTGAACTCCTTACTCTATACCCCTGGACCTAACACTATACCTAACCCAAATATCATTAAAACCCAGTCAATTTCCTAACCCTGTATCTGTGACACAATATAGCCTAGAGTTTACCTGCAGCACAGTATGTATTGAGAGACACCTACATGTACCTGGATGAAAGGAAATAATAATGTTCTACAAAACATGCATCGGTAACAATTGTTCCATGCTCAATTAAAACCAATTCGCATAATGTAACCCTAGCCCTAAACATTAACTCTTTTGCAAAATGAAACCCTAATCCTAAAATAACATAAAACCCATTTGTGAAATGTAACCCTAACCATGATAGCCCTATTTATTCAAACCCAATTACAATTAACCCTAGCCCTATATCTTTCTATGTTTGATGAGATAAAGATCAGAGCAAATGTTGTCAGAACAAATGTCATTTTATCACCTATGATTAAAAGAAGCTGAGTTTAAGAATTGAAAGTTGTGTACGTAAGAGCAGCAGGGCGTGAAATGTTGTGATAGATCTCGGCTGTAAGTGGACGGTGTCTTGTGAGAAGCACCAGCAAAAGAGCGTAATATTATATCTCTGGGAAGCAATGGGGGAAGCACGGCAGGACTGATGGGATTTGCAGTTTGCATTATGGGATTGTGATTTGTCTCGAGGATGAGGTGGTAATGAATAACTGGTGTTTGCCGTCATCCCGCTGCAGTGCAGCTAGTACTGCAGTTAGAGGATGTGGTGGATGGGGGAGGGGGCTACTACGGGAAGAGCTGAAGAATGGGGGATGTAAATATGTAGATCAATGACCTACCAAAGGACATGATTACTGTGCCAGGGATTTGAACCCTGTACCTTATGATCAACAGCCTTGGGACTTACATCTATCTACTGAACCTTAACGTCACTATATTATTTAGTTGACATTTAAAACGATCTGTAACTTCACATGTATACGCCAAAGCCAGGTAAAAATATGATTACAGGGCCAGTCCTCAGGGAAAACAGTATTAATACTATTAATGATGCTACCCCTTGTCAACAAGACGTATTATTATTACTATAATTATTATTAATATTATCTTCAATATCATCATCATCATCATTAGTATTACCCGGTACATTGTGTCCTTTCTGCTTTAAGTTTTTCGAGTGATTTCATTCTCCCCACTTCCGTATGCCAAAATGTCTCTGACCTACTTGGTGCATACATTGTTGCATTAGTCAGTTCATCCCTAATTGATTACCAGACAAAACGAAGCACAACTCGGCATTAGGTTATACTGTAATCTTTATTCATACAGGCACTAATAGATTCCAGAAACAATAGCAGAAGAAAATGAAAATATGATTCATTGAGAGATGACTCATCAAATTTGAACAAAACCTGGCAGAGGGAATTATCTTGTCAGAAGTTAATTGGAACACCCCAAATTAATTACTGACGGCAGTTTTAAAGATCAGGCCGCCTACTGATTATTAATTCAATAAATTTGGCACAATATAGCTTTTAGTGGATAAAATAACTACTCAAGCATTGCATGTATGTACCATTGCGGACAATGCACCGATTTTTTATTCACCCATTTCTAGTTGCATCATTATATTCCTTCTATTATGGATTCAGTTGTCTACCTTAAAATGCAACATTTAATCTAGATCATACCTTTGTTATTAAAGAAGGTTTTGAAAATGATTGTGTTAGCCTAATATATCTGGGTAATTAAATTTGCCACTTTCTGTTTTCTTAGAAAGCTCTATACAGTGCATACGGTAAGAAGTACTCTGTACTAAAATGGGTCCCCACCTTCCAAGTCTTGGGGAGACTAATATTTTACATTTTATGTCTTGTCAAGACTTAATGTGCTCTTTAATTGTTTCTTTTTTCCACCATATCTTCCGACCTGGAATGCGAATCCAGCTACATGTAGATAATACCATCAATTTGAAACCCATATTGCCTACATAATCCAGTTGGTTCGCTTCTTAACCCCTTACGTACCAAATCCTGAGGTTCCTGTTGTATTAAAGCTTTTATGGGAAAATTCAGCAGTTAACAGGTTCAATCAACTCGGTTGAGTGAATTTTGGACTCTAAGGGTTAAATTTCTGATCCTCATTCTCCTCAGTACATTTGCCTTTTCTATTTGCTCAAAGTGTAATCGGCCATCATATCCAGTTCACAGCTCTTTCTGAGGCACATGGCATGATGTTTTTTTATACGCCACTCACGATCCTCGTCCAACGACAACGGCGGCGGGTGATGGTACATCTGGGAATTTCCTCCAAATGGCTACTCATCCGTGCTGTTCTGGCACGATCAGTTCTGAAATATCCATGATTTCGCACTTTTCGGCTGCCAGCGCCGGGCTAATGAAAATTGAAGCGGAGGACGATAATCGCTCCTTTGGCGTCATGATTCATTGCATCCCAGGGAAAGAAGACCGTTCTGTGACGTCTTTCAGGGGACGTGAGATGGAGAGGAGAGGAGAAGATGGAGAAAATTCCTTTTTCAGTTGGAATAACATCAATTTCCAGGCTTATAATCTAGCAAGTGTGATGATATAGAGGCCTAGTATTTTCTGTTGATAAAAATTGATTGGTTGATGGTGTGGTTTTCTTGTGAAAGAATTTCACCGTGCATTTTAAAAATCAAAACTTAGGGTTTAGGATATCTAAATAATAAAAACGTTCAAATTCATTGGTAATACTCAAATTGAGTTCATTATTTCCTACTTTTATAGGCTTGTACCACATGCTTGTTGTGTATTAAAAATATTCATACCAAGTAGTCTCTATTGTAAATGAAATTTTTGTCAGGGATGGAATCATTACTGTATATACATGACCACTTTTGGGATATTCAAACTCTGAATCAAAGATAAAGTATGTCTTTGTTCAAATGTACAGTTGACAAGTAAATTAGTCCTATCCCTTGTAATTTTTTTTTATTTGTAACTCAAGAAAAAAAAGTTGACTGGTTAAGTTATAGGGCCTTTGTTGAATACTTTTAGATGTAAGCTTTAATACATGTATGTCACATTCTCAAGAAACATAAAATCAGGGGTGAATCAATTTTTCACAAACTTCAAATATTACAAAACTTGTTATTATTAAAGATACTATGTCCCTTTTGCAGCCAATATCAAATTCTGTAGAACTTTGCAGGAATTATGAATATGTCATGTATGTCCTATCTGTGAAATGTAAACGTTAGCAGTGTCCTAATATTCGATTATGCAAGGAAACCTGTTTACTTGCTAGACTTCACAGTCAGACACTATTGAGTGA